CGTTGACAACCTTTTTAGTTCTGTAGCAAAGTTTGAAATAGATTCTCCATCTTCCTGTATTCGACTAATAAATGTGTGTTGTAAAGCCAAAATACTTTTTTTAGGATCTATAAAGTTGTCAAGTAAGGTCACAAGCTCCCCATACTCTTTAGTCATAGGATTGTCTGGTGTACATAGGTTGTATAGTTTCTGATGCAAAAGAGGTGTCAAGGCATGTAAAAGTGTAAAGGTTTTTAACTTAGAATCATTTATACCTTTTAAAGTCATAAAAACCTCCAGTCTTCTGGCAAAGTTAGAAAAGTTTTCCCTTTCATCGTAAGGAGTAAAGCTTAAATTTGAAGTAGGAAGGACTGGAATCGGTGTATTAGCTTGTAGATTTTCAGTGATGCAATCGATTTGATTGGAATCAGAGGTATGTTGCATACTTGGCATATGAAGCATTTGGGCATCCATTAATCTCGCTTTTGTATCAATCAGCATGTTTTCAATACTTTCTCTGTAAGTCAGCTCATTTTCTAAATCTTCTTCTTCTTTTGAATAGAAGTCGATCTTATCTTGAATTAGATCATACTTTGATTTAATCTCAGCTAACAAATCAAGTCTAGTTTTGATTTCATTAATAGAAAATGGTCCATTGTCCACATACTTCTTTAAATTTCAAAGCTGAAACTTGACTGTTCTTCGCAATGATTTCAATTTCTTAACTTTATTTACATCTTCTGCTATTTTTTCTAAATCTTCCATTATTCTCGTCGCCATTTGTTAGATATTTTAATAATGTAACATTTGAATGTAGTAACTCAATTTTTTACTTTATTTAATCACAATTCTATTATGTAACTGAATCATAATATAAACAATAACAAATGAACAGAACATATGTAAATTAACAATTATAGTATAAGCCAGAACATTTGGAATGGACACATCAACATTCTTTGCTGTTTTAATTACAACGATATTACCCATATAATATATGAAGAAAGTCTTGCAAGCCATTTCATCAGGAGGATCTTTCCTTAAGGGTGTTTGGTCGAAAATTTGATCTCGGATTTGTTGTTGTTGTTCAATTAGGCCTATACTAAAAATTAGAGATACAAATATATTCGAAATTTTTTTTTTATGTTGAATATTAAGGGAGATATGGATATTTTAGGTGTGGTGTTGATTTCCCCAAGATTTGGTACTGTACCAAATCTTATTGATTTATCTGTTGTCGTTTAGAAAATATTAAGCCCGTGCGGGACTTTATATACACCCTGTATAAGGATGTTGCTATGTAATTATGTTTGCTATGTTTATTTTTTGTTGTAAATAAACTTCACTTCCACTATGGACTTTAGAAACCATACTGTGTAGTCATTTTACTCCTAATTATTATAAAGGAAAATCAATTATAAACAAGCGTATATACTCATGTTAAATAATTTTAAGAAGATTGCTTGCATATTTACACTTGTTTTTATTTTTTTAATTTAATTTATTTGTTTGCAGTTTTTTTTTCAATATTTAAAATGTTTTTAATCATGTTAAATAGATATAAGACAAATTTGTTACTGTTTAAAAAGTAGGAAATATATTTTATTTTTGTACAGTTTACACTGGCTCGAGATCAAGATAAGGATGGAAAGGACAATTAGTATTATAAGCAGGGGTGCCCACAAGGGGGGGGGGGTTTAAAAAAATTCAGGGTGGCTAAAGTTGATTGCAACAGTGACGACAATCAAAAATATATTACAAAGTCACCAGATAGAAAGTCGATTAACTAATGACAATGACAATAGTTATTTTATTGGATTCAATTAGTTAAAATAGCTATGGATAGCTAAGATTTATGTAGGAAGTTATTGTTCAAGATTAGCAAGACGTGAGATCTAGAGAGGGCATGGAATGGCTCTACTGCTGCGATAGATAAAGATAATACAGTAACGCAAGCTACACCACGACTCAGCACAGAACGCTTTGTTGACATAAAGCTTGTTAAAATACAATCAAGTAGCATAGGCTACAATAATTTACTCTATTTTGTAGATAGGTACTCGATTACCTGAGTTAATGGGGGGGGGGGGAGGTAATGAAGAATACGTTATTCCAATATAATATATAAAAAACAGATAAAAAACCCATTAAAACGCTGTAAACATCAGCCATTAACGTCACAATTTGCATTTTTATCAACAAAATTCAATATTGCACAATCTATCTATCTATCTATATAATAAAATTTACTAATATTATTAGCCAAGCATGTTTCTTTAAAACCTTTTTTCTCAGCTCGTGTGCATCACAGGGAAAATCTACGCATACTGTTGGAAATATATTTACGCCACACTACATTTTTTGAAGAACTTCCCACGCAAGGATTTAGTCCAGAAAACAGCTGTTTGCCGCCAGCTTATTCAAATGGGGTTTCATTGCGTACTACTGTACTGCAATGAGTTTTACCGGAATCCAATCAGCTGATTATACTGTATTTAGGTGGCAATGAGTGGTTATAAAAAAAAACATAACCTCTCTTAGAGGTGGTTACTAGTGATTTTTAGTCCTTTAGTTGGTGGAAATATAAGGATTTGTACGGATTTAGTAGTATGGCGTAAACTATCGTACGTAACTCGTCCAAAATGTGTGTACCGGACTCGTATGGTAATCTCCATACATAATCTCGTATGGTAAATCTCGTATGGGAACGACCACACTCGTCCGGTAAACACATATTTTCAGGACTAGTAACGTAATATACTATTACCTGTAGATGTGCAAAATCCCTTTATAAATTAAAACAGGCTCAAAAATAAGCACAAAAAAAGAATTTAACATTTTGAAAAAATTAACATGGATCTAATGGGTTGCCATGCTGTGGACGAAATAACAACGAAATATAAACAGAAAATCAAAACAGATGGAAGAAACTCCAATCACATGTTTTATTCACAGTGTGGGATGAAAATAAAGAAGTCTGTACATTAAATATTTTTGGTTGAGTTTCAACCACTGGACGACCTCTAGTCTATATATTAATAGGCAAGCATGTTTCTTTAAAACTGTTTTTCAAGTTCATACAAACATTGTTGTTATGACTCAGTTTCCATGAAAACCATGTAATGAGCTTAACTTTGAAAACTCAAGGGACAAGCTTTGGCTGATACAGCATGGGTTGTAGAATCTTACTAACTTCCAAAGTCAATGACCCCATCTCATTCAAATGTGCAAACCAGCTGCGTGGAATTGTGAAATAAATGCATTAGGTAGTCAGTTTGTCAACGTAAATGTAAACATTGTGAGTATAGTTGTGGTTACCATGAAATCCATCAATGTTAAATTTGAAAAACTTCACCTCAGATCTTTGAAAGCCCGTAGGGCAGAGCCCAAGGTAATTATCGAAGTGGAAATAGTCTTACTTTGGAGTGCATTCCAGTAGCAGTCTACTACTACAACCAAGTGTGAGTAGCAGTGAGTGGTCATGAAGAAAACGCTGTACATACCCACTCTCCTTTTAGCTAATTTCCCTATAGGGAAAAGTAGCTATTACCGTAGGTGGCACGGTAAGACCTAGACCCGGGACAGATTAACTTTTTCATTTTGATGTCCCCAAAAACGTCAAAAAGGCCTTTCATTGAGATTTTTATATATGTATATATAAAATATATATTTTTAATATGTATATACAATGTAGGGTTATATATGTGTTTTCTAATGAATTTAGTTAAAAAGATATTGATCCGTTTCCAGACTTTTTTGTCACCCTGTATATGTAGAGTTACATGTGTCAGTGAACGCGATAACTCGGGTAATTTTTGCCCGATTTTGATGAAATTTGGTTCAAAGGTGTAAGGTGGGATAAACTTGAATGAGTTTGCAAACCAGTGTGATCAGACCATGGGAACGGGGTTTTACGGGGTAAAAATTGGGTTTCCTCAGTTTTGACCCTCAAAACACAAAATTCCCAATTTTTCTCTAGACCTTTTTAAAGAGCTTAAAAAGCAAGTACAGTAATTTAGTTTTTCAAAGTGTTTTTTGTACGGTTATTGGTAACTGAGAAAATTCAAGAAATTGTAAATTAAAAATTCCCATGTTATTCTTATGGAGAATATTGTAAAATGTTGTAGTTTGCTTGTTTATGGATATATTTTGATCAAACTTGGCAAATTTATTTATTTTATACTAAGCTATTAATATTTTAGTAAAAACCACACTTAATTAGTTTCCTTGGAGCAGCAAACCTATGTACTCGTTAAACCTAATGTTATTCAAATAGCTTTTAATTGAAAATAATTAAGACGAATGGCAATTCACTTAGTCGGCAGTTTTGCTGCGGCAGGAGTATTATATATAATATGTATAGATTTACAATTATTTCCTATCAAACTACATCATGTTCAAAAAGATTGGATAAAAAATGACTGAAATATCACAACTTTAAGTAGTAAAATAAGGAAAACCTGACTAACACAGCCCTATTCTACCTAATTTTTTTGTTCATAGACGCACGAACCCATAGTTTCGTGAGCTATGCTACATTGAGTTCGCAAACCGGCATGATTGGACTATGAGAACCGGGGTTTATGGGGGGGTTTTATGAGGTAAAAATTTGGCCTTCCTATTTTTGACCCTAAAAACATAAAATTTCACTATTTCATTTCAAACCATTTGGTAGAGCTTAAAAGAATTTAGTATATTGAAGCATTGTTGTAAGCTTAATGGTTTTGGAGTTAAATTTAAAAAATTGTAATTGTAAACTTAAAATGCCATGTTATTCTTACGGAGAACAAATAAACTGTTATAGTTTGCTTGTTCCTGAATGTGTTTTGAATCAAATTAGGCAATTTTGTTTATTTTATTATAATATTAAGCTATCAACATTTCAATTTATAAAATACACCTTATTACCTTCCCTGTAGCAGAAAATCTAATTACATTTATCAGGTTTGTGCAGCAGTGTTATTTATTAAGTCAGACTTTTGATGTTCTTGGTTTGAAATACAGCTAGAAAAGCTAATGTACTCCAATTTCAAACGTTTTTATTTTACATTAAAATATATGATAGAATGATATAATACTACTAAAAAGTAAAAATATTAGTCAGGAACAGGAGCTCCAAGTAAATACCACTTGGATCGTGTACGAGCGGCCTCTTTCCTGACAAGGCGTTTCTTGTCATCTAGACAGTTCATGAGGTCAGCTATAACCTGCACAACAAACATTTCATAAATGTATTCCAGTGTTGAGAAAATTACATTGATTTGCAAACCTGGTTATATATTATTTGATTTTAGTAAATAAGGAGACGTTAGATTTGGTTTTTGACAAGGCTAAAAGGCTTTTGTAGTTTGAATTGCTACCTAAGAAGTAAGGGGGTGTACAAATGCACACCTAACCACTCGAGGCTACTATGCTGATGTCAAGATCTTGTAAAGCTTTCTTGTTTCCTTTAGGGTTAGTTAGTATCATTAGTATCATGTTAGTAGTATCATATATTATCATGGTTCATAGAAAACTAAGTATTCTAGCTACTATTTTACTACTTTTTATTTAGAACAGCAAACTGATTCACAATTATAATATTAAACAACATTTTTAGGCTTGTCTATTTGTAATATCTAGCAAAATATTTACCTTCTGTTTGTGGGGAAGCAATAACATAGGAGGAAACTTGAGACAACTACCAAGGCACTTCAAGGAAGCAATTCTCACGTGCTGAAAATATCAATTCTTTTAAATTAATAAGTTTTAGCAAATTTTCCACATAGGGAAATAAGCTAGGTACCTATTACCAAAGGTCTCATGGTAAGACAAGGACCCGGGACCGATTTGCTTTTTTGTTTTCATGTTTTGTTCCATGCCAAAACACACTATCTGTTCATTCATATATATAATACTAGCTTGTACCCGCGGCTTCGCCTGCGATGGTATAGCCATAAATATAATACAGCATAAGAAATAAACAGAGTATAACAATCATTACAATACCATTATCCGTAGTGGCTTCGCCAACGATCACAGAAATAAGAAGGGGTCTGCGGTTCAGAAAATTTAAGGTCGGTACGGTACAATATTTTGTACATCGTTCTCGGTACAAAATCGTTACGGTACGTTGCTACCCATATTTTTGCGGTTTTCTTCTCAGAACTGTGTTTAAACCATTATTTTTAATTTTAATAGATTGACATTACAATGAAAATGGATAGTATCCTACATTCATGGTTTTCTAACAACAATTACTGTACCACACATTATTAAAACAAAACCTTTTTACTACTACGAGGATTGTGTCAAGAAAATCACAGTTAAGATAAAGGCTTTACCTATTTCACTCTGAGATACTTTGAATAGCCATGATAAAGTGGTTTTATAATTAGGATAAGAGTTTTTAGGAATAAACATGTTTGAAGCATTAATTGACAAGATAGTTTCACACAACTGGTAAATTATTTCCAACCAACACAATGTCTAGTTGTTTTTTAGATTTTTAAAAACATATAAAAGCATTCAGTAGAAGACGAAGACAGTGTAGTTGCCAGCTGTTCACAGCACACGACAAGACTGGAGGTTATGAGTAGCCTTGTATAACGAAAAAAATTATGCAAACAACAACAACTATGCTTGTGGCTTGGTCAATAGAAAGATAAAATATCCATAACAAATATTTTAGTATTAAAAAGGTTTAAATACCTGCTATCAAGCAATCCATTTAATTGCAGTTGCAACTAGTTTCGACTCCTATGTGGAGTCATCATCAGGCGGTACAAGGACTTCTTCTTTCTTCATATGAAGAGCGTCATATTTAACACGTAAAAATAAATAAACATTTACACACGACACAAAACACGTTACGGAAACGAAACATTTACTGATCAGTTACGACAACAGACGACGCTAACCCGACGGAGTTTAAGTCCAGACTGCGGGTGGTCATTGCAGTGGTGTACGTCCGTTATCTTATCACCTCAGGTTACGTCCATACATCGATGGTTACGTCCCAGTCCTGTCTAACACACTTCCACTCTCCAGTATCCTTATGGCAGTGTCATATATAAAATTGGACGAAAACGTTAGTTGGTCATTTAACACATTTTCGTGGTCAGATGTTACTGCCTTATAAATCTCAAACTCTTCTAAGGTGTTTAATTTAAATCTGTCTCTAGAGAAATGTAAAATATTCATGTTGTTACTAATGCTGGTATAATTGTGGCCTTGAGAAATTAAATGTTCTGCAAAAGATGATATCTGGTGTACTGTTGACGCTTTTGGGAGATGTTCCTTGAAACGTTTTGTAAATGAGCGTGCCGTCTGGCCGATGTAAAATTTAGTACAATCGGTACAATTGATCTTGTATACGCCGGATCTGTCTAAGGGTTGTGTCAATGAAGGACTGCGCTCTTTTAACAATGCGCCAAGTTTGTTTTCTGTTCTGAAGGAAACTGTAATATTGTTTTTTGTCATAAGATTTTTAAATTTGTTACTCATGAAGGTACCATATTTTGCAGAGATGTAGTTTTTCTGTTTTTTAGTTCCTGTTTTCTTTTTATGTTTGAAGATTTGCTACAGCTATGTATTTTATTGTATTTAATTCTTCATTGTAATCCTGTTCATTCATTGGAATTGTGAGCAAACTGTGGACAAAGCTGTTGTACGCAGCTAGTTTTTGTGAGTAAGGATGATGGGATTCATAGTTAAAGGTCTGGTCAGTGCATGTTGGTTTCCTGAATATTTTGAACTCCAACTTATTTTGATGTTTTATTATGGTGAGGTCTAAAAATTTTAAACGATTATGGCTTTCTTCCTCCAATGTAAATTTTATGTTGTTATGAATATTGCATAAGTAGGAGTTGAGTAACTACAACTGTCTACTGTTGCCGTTGAACAAAACAAAAGTATCATCTACATATCGGAAATAAAACAGAATTTTTTCCCTGTAACGGTTGGTATCAGAAAACAAATGTTTATTTTCCAGGTTGTTGAGAAAAATTTCTGTCCAATTTTATATGACACTGCCATAAGGAAGGCCCTGTACACATGAGGGCGGCAGCCGCCGCGGTGGCCGCCTAGGAGCGTACACATGGCAGCGGTTGGAGCCGCGGTTACGCTGCGGTTGCAGTGTGAATTGACCGTCGCTCGACAGCCAGTACTGTATTTACCCAATTATTTTTCTTTTAAACGCGTAACGCTTGGCAATTCTTTTCAGCAAAAAACTCAAATAACTCTTGCCACGCATTCTTTTTTAAGTTTATCTCCTAAACGTATCTTCTTTTTGTACTTCTTTAATGGACAGTTCAGTGTCAAAGTTTTCTGGTTCCACAGCAGCACGCATGGCCATTGTTAACTTACACTACGAGCACTACATCAACTCCAGCCACAGCTACACACTTCACCAACATACAGAGAGAGAGAGAGCGATGTCCACAGGGCAAGCGCGCAGATGTCTGTGATCCTATAGTAGCAACTGCAGTCAACCGCGGCGGCTACCGCCCTCATGTGTACGCTCTCATTCCAACTCTAGTAACTTCAACCGCACGGGAGCCGCGGCGGTCGAAGGGAAATCTACGACCGCCGCGGTTCGTTGCGGTTGATTGGAAGTGGGCGGTTGCATGTGAACGGTCCCATTTGCTCCTTTGTACTTTCAACCGCCGCGGTTCCCGCGAAATAGCAACCGCGGCGGCTGCCGCCCTCATGTGTACAGGGCCATACAGGACTAGGACGTAACCTGAGGTGATAAGATAACGGACGTACACCACTGCAATGACCACCCGCAGTCTGGACTTAAACTCCGTCGGGTTAGCGTCGTCTGTTGTCGTAACTGATCAGTAAATGTTTCGTGTCCGTAACGTGTTTTGTGTCGTGTGTAAATGTTTATTTATTTTTACGTGTTAAATATGACGCTCTTCATATGAAGAAAGAAGAAGTCCTTGTACCGCCTGATGATGACTCCACATAGGAGTCGAAACTAGTTGAAACTGCAATTAAATGGATTGCTTGATAGCAGGTATAGGTCTCAATCCCGGGCCTTCAATCCAATCCCGGGCCTTCAATCCAATCCCGGGCCTTCAATCCAATCCCGGGCCTTCAATCCAATCCCGGGATTTCGGGATTCGTCTAAGCCGATCCCGGGATCAATCCCGGGATTATATAATATTATGATTTTTAACTTTTTAGCAATTTTAAATGAGCGAGAAGTCCCCTCGTTGAGTACTTTAATGTTTTAAACTGGTCTTAGCAGTGTTACACTGAGCAATGTTTCCGTTTTTTAAGTAAATAAATATTACCATGTGGAACTTTCATCGCCCGTATTTCTTATTTACAGTGTATAAATGTTGATATGTCACTCTAGAACATAATAAATAGGCTACATTTAAAATAATCACAAGCAACCGCACTCGCACGTAGGCTATACACGCTAATACAGTAGATAGCAGAGAGCACATTCTGTAGATCTCTGGTAGATAGATTAAAGATGGCTAAGAGAAAAAGAGAAAATGGGAAGAATCACGAGTATCAGCGTAAAAATGTTGTTTTGACTGACAGAAATAAAACAATACAAGATACTGTAAAACAGTAAACCATCTGCTTATGTAGTAGCGTGTGTACGAAAAACGTAATTTTAGATTGTAAGAAATTTAATCACCACGCTAATAACCAAATACGAAGATAAAGTTATAGACCCTAAATATAAGCAATCATAATAATGTGATTATAATGGTGTGTTATGGTTATATTTTATGGCCTCAATGAAAATAATACTTAAATTTCTGTTTGCAATGTTATGTTTGCTACACGAATTGCGTTTTTTGCGTTGTTTACGTTTAATGTCAAAAGTAAAACTCAAAATAACTTGTAGGCCTACTGTAATTAAGTTATAACTAATGTAATAACATTTACAGAAAGTAAATCCAAATCGTCTAAAAACTGAAACATACATTTAGGCCTACATTCGTTCGCAATTTTGAGTTTAATGATAATTAAATTTTCCAATCAAAAAGATCATTACTTATACCATTTCATGTAATTGTCCTAAAAATAAAGAGTATATGCGTTTCAAGTGTTATTGGACTATTTTTATTAGTTTTCTGTAAGTAAAAGTTCCCAAATTCACAAAAAAATCAAAATAAACATAGGTTTTGCTATCCCGTTAATCCCGGGATTAAAAGTTACCAATCCCGGGATTTCTAGGTATCAATAATCGGCCGGGATCCCGGGATTCGGGATCCCGGGATTGAGACCCCTAAGCAGGTATTTAAACCTTTTTAATATTATTTGGCAATCCGGAGGCTACATCCAAAATGAAAATATTTTAACTTATAAAATAAGATTGTAGATTAGTTACAAGTTTAATATGTAGCCATAAACAGTTTTATGGCAGAAGGCAATGGCCAGCGTCAAATTGAATATTCACGAAAATACTGACAGAGTTAGAGATCAAATTTAACAGTCATCATTAAACTATTATTTTTATGATAAAATAGAATTGGGGAAAGTCGTAAAGGAATAAATGTGATAACACTCAACATTTCTTGGAAGTACTTGAATACAACAATTATTGTCGTAATAAAATGTTAATGGATTTGGGACTGCTAATGGGTTTTTATTCATCACCCTAGTAATAAATTATGAAGATCGTAAACAAACATCTGATAAGACTTTTATGTGTTCGGAACCAACTGCAGTTTACTTATTTATTATTATTGAGCCGATGACGGTAA